TAATTTTCTTGGCTTAATTGAATTTTTCTTTGAATTTGATCTTTGACTTTATATAATATTGGCGCCCATGCTGCATTAATTTCATCATGAGTATTAATTGATTCACTTATAATTGAATATATTGCTTCTTTTGTCCTTCTTTTCCAATAATCTTTTTCTTCATCAATAATAAATGCATCATTGGTATCAAATAAACATTGGAATTTTTTTTCTTGAAAATGCTTTACCATTTCTGAATTACTATCATCTGTATTATTATTAATTATTTTTGAATGCTGTTTCATTCTCTTATCTAAACCGACCTTAGTTTGACCGACATAAGTTTGTTTGCATGAACACGGTATCTGGTATATAATAGATTTTGATGGAATTTTTAATGTACGGTTGAACTGTGATTGTAATTTATATGGATAAGAAAAATATAATTTAATTTTTAATTGCTTCTCCAACTTTCTTTTCAATACTTCCATACCAGGAACATATGGTAATGATAAGCTGTATTTCATTTCTTCATTACTATTGTTTTGATTTGACATATCATTATTGTTATTATTACATTTATATTCTTCACATCCATGTTTCATTAATTTTTCAGTTTCTTTTAATGGATAATTTGAATTTAACAGTATGTTTTTTAATGTATTTAAATCTTCTTTTTGATTCTTATTATTTTGTGTTGTTTCTAAAATTCTTGTAGTCATATTCTTAACAATATTTGATTTAATTGATTTTCCATGACTTGATTCATAATTTAATAATCGATCAGCAGCTGTTTCTTTTCTAAACCATCTAATTTTAAGTTTTATATCATTACTGCTGTTAATCCTTGTTAATGTTGTATCAAGAAAATTCAGTTCATTACTTTGTTCAAATTCAGAGGTGAATTTAATTGTTCCTTGTATATTATTTAATTCATTTACATAATCCTTTAATTGTTGTTGATTCATTTTTGTGATAATCAATATATCGTCAACGAATGTCCATATTTTGTTTGGTATGCTAACTTGATGTAAATGTTGTTTTTGATAATCATCCATATAGATATCAGCTAATATTGGCGATAATGTATTACCCATTGGTAAACCTGTTTTTTGTTCGTAAAATTTATCATTAAATTGAAAATAATTGTTTTTTAGAGATAAATTTAATAAATCTTTAATATCTGTTTTAGTCAATGGTAAATTGTCTAATTTTTTGGACTCAATAAGACGTTTTAGTGTGATATCAATTGCTTTATTAACTGGTATATTTGTATATAAATCTTGAATATCAAGACTAGCTAAATAATCATCTTGATCTAGTTTGATATTTAAAACATTTCTAACAAAATTTGATCTATTACATATTGCTCCAGTTAATGCTGATCGTAATTAATATATTTGTATACAAATTGCGATAATGGTGATGTAATTGTATCTCTTGAACAAGTGACAATTCTCATTGGTGTATTATCTTTGTGTAATTTGGGTTGACCACGGATTTTTGGTAGGTCGTCAATTGATGTTAAGTAATATTTATTTTGTTCTGTAATTTTATTTTGTTTCAATAATTTTGTAACTTTCTTACTAATTTCTGTTTTGATTGTTGTTGTTGAATCTTTCTTTACTTATTCGTATACATTAGTATCATTTAATTTTTCTTCAATTTTGTTAATATAATCAATTTTATCCATTATCACAATTTTTCCACCTTTGTCTGCTTGAACAATAATAATATCTTCCATTAACTTGATTTCATTTAAAATTTTTATTTCTTCTTTATTTATATTGCATTTTCTAGGTTTCTGCCATTTTTGAATAAATGTTGATATTTCTGATATGGCTGCATTTTTAATTAAAGGGTGTGGGTGTGGGTCTGGGTGTGGGTGTGGGTGTGGGTGTGGGTGTGGATGTGAGTGTGGGTGTGGGTGTGGATGTGAGTGTGGGTGTGGGCGTGGGTGTGGATGTGAGTGTGAGTGTGGGTGTGAGGGAGGGTGTGAGGGAGGGTGTGGGTGAGGGTGTGACTGTGTGTGTGGGTGTGGGTGTGACTGTGTGTGTGGGTGTGGGTGTGAATGATAATAGTAACACCTATACCCACACCCACACCCACACCCACACCCACCCTTCTCTGATGCCGAGAAAAAAGTCAAGAAAAGTAAGCTCATGATTATGATTTTACGTGTCAATCTTAACCAGAAAAACTTGCCAAGATCGTGAGAAAAGGATGAGTTCACATTGGAAACATAATTGAGCGATTTTGCCTTCTCTAGAAAGTTATAAAAATTGAGTCTCAATTAGGAATATAAAATATCACTGGAGTTGATTACTAAAGTCATCTACTTTAGCCTCCATAATTATACAACTTGATTGATCGACACATCAGTTTGCATTGTGTGATATTTTTGTATGATATGGTAACATTAATCAATATATTCATGGATGTTTTCTCCACCAGCCTATTTTGTCATGAGAAAAGAGGCAAAACAGAATTTTTCTGAAAAAAGCGACCAAAAGGAGGAAAAAGAGGCGGAGTGGGATGCCAGTTACAGAGGCAAAAATTTTCACATGGGTTTCAGCTTTTTTCATGATAAGTGTTGACAAGCACTTAGAAGGATAAAAATTCACGGCACTTTTCAGCTTTGTCTATGATAAGCGTTGAAAAGCGCTTAGAAGAATAAAAATTTACAGTACTTTTCAGCTTTTTCCATAAGTGCTGTAAAGTGCTTCTCCAAGCGCATTGTAAGCTATATTAAGCGGCTTAATTAGTTGAAGCCGCTTTCAGCAGCTTAAAACTGTAGTGTTTAAGCGTTTTAAAGCACTTAATTGAAGTGTAAGCTCATTTAAGCCGCTTAAAAATAGCTTACAAAGGAAAATATTTTCACATGGATTTCTAACAAAAATATAATTTTTAACTTTATATCGGATTATAATTGACTTTTGGTGGGTATACGTCGCTCGACTACAACTTTAAGAAAAAAAGAAAAAAATGTTGAATTTTTTTAAAAACTGCTGGTTTTTGGAATAAGGGTTGTCAAAAATATGTAAAATTTTTCGGAAAAAAGGAGGTACCCAAGGAAAATTTTTAACGTTTATATAAGGGCAAATGACAAGCTATACCCCTATATATTTATCTTAATTTAGAGGTGTCGTCTCAGCATTAGCATTGTATTAATTAATACTTTTTTTAATGCTTTTGTATTAAAATTAAATAATTCAGTTAATACTTTTGGCATTAGTGTTAAAAACATAATTTAATGCTTTGGCATTAGTGTTAATTTTGTATTAAGAAAATGCTAATACCTATCATGATCATGGAACTAGTTTATGGATCTATCATTGTAGTTTTACCACTAGCTTCTCTATAGTTGAATTTTCGTTGTAACATTTCTATACAGAGAAAATGTCATGTATGCACCAAGCCCGAACTACCCGGGTTCGGTCATTCCCGGTACCGGGATCCTGGGTTTACTCATTCACATTATTGTTATAACAATCTCCTATTATATGAAGGTACCCTTAACTCCTCAAGTTCTATTATATACAGGTACTCTTGGGTCCTCAAGTCCTATTATATATAGGTACCCATAGGTCCTCATCTCCTATTATATGAAGGCACTTTGAATCCTCATGTCTTATTATATACTGGTACCCTTGGATCCTCAAGTCTTATTATATAGAGATACCCTTGGGTCATCAAATCCTATTATATACAGGTACCCTTAGGTCCCATGTCCTATTATATATGGGTACCCTTGGATTCTTCAACTCCTACTATATACAGATACCTTCATATAGTAGGAGGTGAAGAATCCAAGGGTACCCATATATAATAGGACATGAGGATCCATGGGTACCTTCATATGATAGGAGATGAGGGCCTATGGGACCTGTATATAACAGGAGTTTTTTTTAATCATGCTGAATTTTATTCGTGACATCCATACTTTGTTTTTGGGAGATTTTTTACAATTTTTGCGGACGCTTACGAATGTATGCAACGGACAATATAACGATAACAAACAGAGAAAGGATACAAAGAAGTGAAAACGAACAGAATGAAAATCGAATTCGAGCCAATGATGACGATGTAGCGTTCATCGCTGCTTTTTCTTTTGTTTATTCTTCCGATACCGTATATCTGGACACCGAATGCACCATGCCGGAGGAAGGGATCGAACCTTCTGATGTCTGGCTAAAATCAGATGCGTAGAACCACTACGCCATCCCTGGCTATAACAGGAGTTGACGACCCCAGGGTATCTCTATATAGTAGAACTTGAGGACCCAAGGGTACCGGTATATAATAAGACATGAGGATCCAAAGTGCCTTCATATAATAGGAGATGAGGACCTATGGGTACCTATATATAATAGGACTTGAGGACCCAAGAGTACCTGTATATAATAGAACTTGAGGAGTTAAGGGTACCTTCATATAATAGGAGATTGTTATAACAATAATGTGAATGAGTAAACCCAGGATCCCGGTACCGGGAATGACCGAACCCGGGTAGTTCGGGCTTGGTGCATACATGACATTTTCTCTGTATAGAAATGTTACAACGAAAATTCAACTATAGAGAAGCTAGTGGTAAAACTACAATGATAGATCCATAAACTAGTTGCATGATCATGATAGATATTTGCATTTTCTTAATACAAAATTAACACTAATGCCAAAGCATTAAATTATGTTTTTAACACTAATGCAAAAAGTATTAACTGAATTATTTAATTTTAATACAGAAGTATTAGCGTTTTCTTAACACTGATGCTAAGACGACACCCCTAATCTTAATTTTCATGATTCTGACGAAAAGTGACTTTTTTGAGGGGGATCTTAAGTCATTATAATGGTTGTTAAGTTGACAATGTCAGAAAAAGCTATTCAAGTCAAAGAAAAGATCCAAAATAGATCGCTTCCCTCGTGCGTCTATAGTAGATGGCAATAGGATGTAAATGCTGAAGTATGTAAGTGTAAGTGTGAACTAACAATCACTCACACTCACACTCTCGTATTTATCACAACTATTTTTTTTTCTATGCATCCTAATAGCATTATTTTCGTCAATATGAGTAAATTAAGTGATTTTTATGTTGCTTGCCAAAATGGTGACTTAACAACAGTCGAGTCTTTGATTTCGTCTATGTCACTAAAGGAAATCAATCGATTAGAATCGAATGGTAGTACTGCTCTACATGCTGCCACTTCCAATGGACATACATCGATAATCCTTTTACTTCTAATGAAAGGTGTGTCTCGCTGCATTGTCGATAAGCATAACAAAACACCTATTGACTATACACCAACCACTGATGTTAAGCAACTGTTTGATCGATCAATTACTGCAATGAAAGAGCGATATATTCAAGAAGATACCCCACAAATAAAATGGGCTTCATCGCGTAAGCATCGAGATGAGGTTGCTTGCGATAATTATTGTGAGTACATGAGACCAAGCGCCTTATCTGAAATCACTCGAACCGTGATTGATCACATTGACACCTTCATTCATAGTGCGGGAATGAATCAAATACATTATTTCATAGAAAAAGCAATCGAAACAAAAGACACCAGTTATTTGCTGCGTGCATACACAGCGGAGATCGACTTTTATCGAAAACTCAATTTTCAATTGGCTGCCTTAGGAGAAGACACATGGTCACGGCATATGGACGATCAATCCAACAAATGGGCTCGTATATTTGCCGGTCAAATTGCAAAAGATCCAACTCTAGACAAATATCGATGGACAGGAAGATGTTATCGTGGCATGCGCATGACCGCAGAAGAACTCCACCAATACAATCTCAATTCACTGAACAGACCATACAGTAATTTGGCATTTTTGTCTACATCTAAAAAACGTCATGTCGCCGAACGTTTTGCTTGTATTCCTTCTTCTGGCAAGCTTGCTGCTATCTGTACATATGATATTACGGATAGACGTGTTGCTTTGGATATTCACTCAATATCTGAGTTTCCCGATGAGGAAGAAGTGTTGATTATTCCGAATATGGTATTTAAAGTTCTAGCAATCAAGGATGACAATCCAATTGAAATCGCCCTTCAAAGCCTGCCACTAGCGAATGATTTCCGAGATTGGGACACCGATGTGGCTTCTTAATTGATACATTAGCATAAGCATACACAAGATTGACTACTTTTCCTTCAAAAAAAGGTATGATAAGAATCGAGGGTGTGAGTGTGTGGTGGGGTGGGTGTGAGTGGGTGTGGGTGTGGGTGTGATTGTGGGTGAGTTTGGGCAGAGATGGAACCGGTCTGGGTTTTTGATGACCGGTACCGGACCGGCCGGTCTACCGGCAGTCGACCGGAGATACATTACATATTTATAATTCACTCTATCACAAAGACTAATTTAGTAGATATTGAAGTTTTCACGCATCGTATAATAACCTTGATGCGCTAAGTTATATCATGTAAGTTATAGAGTCGCGTAGTTTTTCGACATAGTTGACCATGAAGTTTCGCTTTAAAAAAAATTCAATTCAACTATAGTTACTGGGCCGATACACTAAGTTAGGTTTTACTGCTTTAGGCAGAGCTGCTTCCATGTATAAGTTGCAAAGAACACAACAATATTATGATCGAAACCGATGTGGTTATGAGAATTCTGGTATGTTATTTTGCTAAATTCAGTTCAGTTATAATTTGATAAAGGAAATCCCTATTATAGAGTTGATGTGATCGGTGCAATATTTCTTTTCGATTAATAATCGTTTT